TGGGCTTGAAGGGCAGGGGTACAAGGCAGAGGAGGCCAGCTCCGCAGGGTCCTCACTGGTACATTGCCAGGTCTTTTATCTCATGGGGCCTGGGGCTGCGGCACCTACCAACAGTCCGGTTAGCAGCCGGATAATACTTAGCCATTGTGCCAACAGGAACCCTTCATCTTTTTCCCCCAACCAGGGTGTGGGGTGGATAAAACCCGAATAAGACCCTAATCCAATTCCTTGGAGCAAATCATAGTGCTCCGACAGAGTAGCACAACTAGTATGGGGGTGACTTTTGTGAGACCATCCATGTTTAGGGGCTCAGTCCCATCTTTCTCCCGAGGAGTGGCTGGTACGTTTGAACTGATGACCCTGTAGCCCACAGCGCACCCCACTACCCTGCCAGGGCCCCTTCGTCTTTCCCACGACAGGTCAGTAGTACAGGTGGTGTGATTGTAAGATGCCCCAAGGAGAAAGCTCACACGCATAGTGACCCTACAGGACAGGGTAGAACTGCCCCTGTGGGGTTCTGAGGTTGTACCCCTAAGCCTCATCTTCCTCCCGAGGAGCGGCTGGTGGTTTCCAACTGCTGACCTTGCAGTTAGCATCATAGATACAACCCACTGCGCTACCGGCAACTCCAGCAGTCAGTTTGGAGCTATTCATTTCTCTTCGTCTCAGAAGGAAGTGAGGCCCTTTGCAAATATGCATTGTGTACTGGAGACGTGGAGACATGCAGTCTGAAAGCGAAAATGCCTGGGCACTCCCCGAGCCTGGATGCTCAGCCCTCTGGGGTGGAGCCTGGGCACTGAGGACTTTGACCAGTATCCCCAGGGAGTTCTTAAGGGGCCGCAGGGCTGACGAAGGAGGAGGAAAAGGTAAGGTAAGGAACCCCCTTTGGGTTTTTTCTTGTTTGCTGCCGTGAAGTCAATCCCTTGCACGATGAAATGCGACACTGCCCAGCCCTGGGAGACAAGTGCCAGGAGAGTGGGCACAAGTGCCAGGAGAGTGGGCACAAGTACCAGGAGAGTGGGCACACAGAAGCCCCCACTCACTCGCTTACCTGGTAGTGCATCAGCGTGTTGAGCCGCTTCCAGTCCCCCTCGATCTTGGTAGTGATGTCCTCGTCCTGTAGCACCACCCGAGCAATCCGGCCTTGGCGCCACTCTGGGGGGAAAGGGTGGTGCTGGGTGAGGCCTGTGGGTTCCGGGCCAGAGTACCCAGGGAGCCTCCTCTAGGACCCGGTCAGCCTCATTCACCCTGCTCGTGCCCGTGGGAAAGCTCAGGGACATGCAGGACACCCTGGGGTCCAGGTTGCCGAGGGGGAAGTGCAGGCTGCTCTAGACAGCTGTGTGGGAGGTGGCCCAGTCACACCCACACCGCACGTTTCTCATTTGGAAGCCTGAACCTGCTTTCCACCCTCCTAAGGGAAGCGGCTTCATTTCTTCCCCCCACCCCAAGGCCAGGGCTCCTACCCAAGTCCATGTCCACAGCCCTTGGCCGCTGGGAGTAGGGCACGTTCTTGTACACAGCGTCCAGAATTTTCTCCTTGACCTGAGTGATGGTGTCGCAGTTCAGCACCTTCACCGGGATCTCTGGACTGTTCTCGTTGTCAGGGTTCACACAGTTCAGGATCTGCAAGCAAGGGATGAGGGTGAGCTCCGTGGGTAGCAGGACAGAGCTCTTTCCATGAGCTGCCTTCCTTAGACCCTCTGTTGTCTGCACCGCTTCCCAGTCTCTCTCCTCCTCCTGCGGCTGTCTACCAGACAAGAACTGGGGTCACAATGTGCACTCCTTCCTCCTCCAGGCATCAGCTCTCTGCTTCCTAGCTCCTGGATGACTCTGGGCTACTGCTATGGAAATAAGTGTCTCAGGGGCTCAGAAGCAGCACGGGTGGTGGCGTAGTTACGTGTTGGTCAGCAGCTGGAGACCACCAGCCAGCTCCGAGGGAGAAAGAGGGGGCTTTCTCTCTTAAAGAGTTACCGTCTCGGACGCGCATAGCGGCAGGTCTACCCTGTTTGATCCGGTTGCTGGGTGTCAGCATTAGCTGGACGGCGGTCAGTGTCAGTGTGGAGTTCAGAGGTGATTCCAGGCTTTTCCAGCGCTGGCTGTTTCCTTCCCTGAATCTTCTACATTAGACACCAGCACATCCCCATTTTCTACCAGAATGCTGCTTTTTCTTGTTAGCTGTGCACTATCGAGGCTGCCCCCCGACTCAGGGCGACCCCAGGCAGGCACCACAGAGCAGCCCCACTGCGGTCCACAATGTGTTCATGGGCTGACTTTCAGAAACAGATGAGTAGGCTTCCTTCCTGGTTCTGAGAGGTCGGAAGATTAGGGGTCAAGAGGTAAGGGTCAAGAGGCAGGAAGATTAAGGGTCAAGGTTGTCTCCACCGAATGCCTATGCTAAACAAACATTAGCTGGCCATGTCATAACAAAGGGGTTGGAAAGAAATTAGGCACGTGTTAAACACCTATGGGGACCATCCAAAGCTGGGCATTCACTGACCAAGGTCACCTAGACACAGGTGAAGGCCAACCTGGGCACAACGTAAGGCACCAGCAACATGACATCACACATGCACCTGAACTCCACCACTACGATCTGCCAATACCCTCAACCACGAGCCCTCTCCCCACAAGTGGGGATAGGAGTAGGAGGGATAAACAGCACAGGCTGTAGGCAGGGCTCTCTCTTTCATGTCAGAGGGTGGGATCTCTTCCGCCCCTGGGCCGCAGGCATTCCCTCTCAAGGGCTCTCTCTCTCTCTCCCCGGGACTCCTCTTTTGGTTCTGAGGACTCCACTTCCCAGACATTTTCTCATGTAGTTTCTTCAAGCTCCCCCCAAGCAGCTGTTTTCGGTTGTGAACTTTCCCACGGTCTGCCAAGCGACCTTGCACGCTTTCCAGGAGAACGTGTACTCCCTGAGACAGTACCACCCGGAACTTCCCTTTGCACCATGAGAGTCACTTGGATTACACAAGTGCCTCTGTCGCGTGAATTCTTTGTGTGGACAGGCAAGAACAGAGGTGAACCACCCCAGAAACCAACAGTTCTTAGGCTGGAAGCTCAGCTGAAATCTGGTTAGCATGGCTGCCGCAGGCAGGGCTCTGCTCACAGCAAGCAGGGGTGGGGCTCGGAGTGTTGCTGGCTGGGACTCCAACCTGGGGCTCCAGCAGGAAAGGTGAGCAGCCTACCATCGAACCACCACTATGCCACAGTTGGTGGCAGGTGATATATTCCGTGTCCACGCCTACTATCTAGGGTAAACTGAGGCATGGAGAGCCTCAGGCCCCCCCCTCCCCCCCCCCCATGAGATGGTGGTAGACTTGGAGGAAATCCAGGCTTCCTACGTGGCCAACCCTCCCGAACCCTGGGTATACTTAATGTCTCCTGAACTGGCCTTCCCCCACCCCACCCACCTGCCTGACACTTCTCCCTGCAGACTGACTGCCTCTGTGGTCAGGTGGTCCAATGTGGGTCGGAAGCAGGAAGTAGGAGCACCTCCTAACCACCCCGCCACCCCACCACCCACCACCCCCGCCCCCCCACCCGTCACCCGCCTGGCTGCTGGCCTCCTCACCAGGGTCTTGTACTCAATCTGCTGCCGGATGAGCTTGTCCTCACTCAGCGAGTAGCGGGCCTCGCCGGTGATGGCGTCGATGGGGCCCTTCTCCATCTGCTGCTTGATGGCACAGTACAGCATGAAGAGCGGCTCCCCAGCGCACTCCTGTGGGCACAGGCGGGGCCAGTGAGGGTGAGGGTCACCCCCCTTCTAGGCTGCCCTCCCTCCTTCGCTGGGGAGGGCCTGGGTGGGCAGGTTCTTCTTCCTAGCCACAGGCTCAGTGGGGCAACCTCCCCTCTGCTCCTGGCTCACCTTCAGGAACTTGTGCAGGAGGAAGGCAAACCAATTGGTCAGCATCTTCTCAGCTACCGATTCTGTCCTGGGGAAGCGGGAAGGGAGAGGAGATGAGGGTGGTCTGCTCCTGGGGGGTCTGGGTGATGGGCCCTGGGTATGTTGTATGAGCCAGGGCCCTAGAGCAGGACCGAGCTGAGCGAGAATCAGATGTCTTCACCCGGGGCTGCTGGCTCCTGGGCCTGTTCCCATTTACAGCGAAGGGACAGGACTGTGCTCCCCTGCTGGGAGGGGGCCCTGGGGATGGCTTTGGCACTGCCTCAGAGAGCTAAGAAGAAAGGTTCTCCCCATGCCCTTTAGCCCATGGAGTGCCACCCCTCTGGGATTCCTCACAAGCCTGGGCTCTCTCTCAGGCAGCAGCTCCCCCCGCCCCTCCAGGCACTCAGCGTTTAGGGATTTGGGACCCCTCTCTCTCCTATACCCTGGGAGTTCCAATCTTGGCTCTGGCTTTATGACCTTGAACAAGTCATGTCACCTCTCTGGGTCCTGTTTCCTGGCCCATGGAAGGGAATTGCAATAGCAGTGTCTCTCCACTGAGGTTCCTTAAGGGCAGCAGGAGGTCACATATGGCAGAGGCCAAGAACGGCACCTGCGCCGTGAGCTCATGCCAGCCATGGTGGTTATGATCGATCATTGCCACATAGGGGCGTGGATCCCAGGCCCGGGGGAGAGAGAGGTGCTGGGGGCTTGAAAGCCAGCATTAGTGGATTTGGGCCTGCTTCCTCACATGCAGCAATTCCCTGCCCCCTCTCCCCTGCTGGCAGACTGGGGCACTGAGGAAGGAACAAAGCAGTGGTGACAGACCCTGGGGGACAGGACAGGTGTTTTAGCTCCTTGCAATTGGTGCAAATCACACCCTGTGGCTGCAGTGAACCCAGGCCTTTGCCAGGGCTGCTCAACACTGCAGCCTACAAGAGAAAGGCACAAAGGCTGCAGAAATTGTAGCTTTCTCCCCGCAGCCCCTCCCGGCACCCTCTTCCGCCATTGTGCCAGAGATTAGCTCTAATTTAAATACAACAGTTCTTAATGAGAGATTCTAATGCTCAGGTTGGCAAAAGGTTGGGGGGCTTCTTGCTTCTGAGACAAAGCTGGGCTCCCTCCTTCCTCACCCCACGTGGGGGGCCTGGAAGTCGAGGAGGGGCCTGTGTGGCCTGCAGACGTGTGACGTGTGGCCTTTGCTCAGCTCAGCCATTGGCTCAGCTCCCCTGGGCCTTCTGGGAAATGGCAACTGGGGGTGAAGTCGGGTGCAGGTGATGCCCGAGTCAACAGGCATTCTGTGATGATGTTCCAGAGCTGCACTCTCCTGCAGGGTGGACACAGAGCTCTTGAAATGAGGGGGGAGGGCAGCTGGGCCATGGACTCTTTGATTTGGTTTCATTTGAGGGAATAGCTACATGTAGCCAGCGGCACCTGTGCTGGGCCGCGCAGGTCTCTGTGCAGAGGGACGGAGGTCGCTGGAGGGGTGCTACTGTCCGAATGGTGTGGAGGAGGAATGGAAACATCAGTGAGGTCAAGCGACTGGCCCGAGATCACACAGCCAGTGGGAGGGACACCGCTGGACAGCAGTGGGCCCTTGTGCTCCTCCACCACCCTTGGGTGGCTTCTGAGGCTCACCACCCTCTCCTTCAGCGGGGGTCTGTATGCCCATGTCCCAGAGCCCACCCTTCCCGCCGTCAGCCCCCACAGCAGGCCCGACCTCCGGAGCAGCAGCTTGGGGTGGTTCTTGTTCTCCAGGTTCTTGTCGATGAGGTCGGAGAGCAGCTGCTTGAGCACGTCGGTGGCGTACTCCAGGCGGCCCTGCAGGCCCGTCATGATGAGCGAGGCCACGTTGCCGCGGTCGCGCATGGAGAAGCTGCGCTGCAGCTCCAGCGTGCGGATGAAGGTCAGCAGGAACACCTTGTTGTTGATGAGCTGGGCAAAGAGCTTCAAGGCCTTCTCCACGTGCTGCTGCCCATTCCCTTGCACCTGGGGGGGAGGGATGGCACCTCACAGGGCAGCCCTTGCTGCGGGTGACAACAGCCCTAGGACCCTCCTCTGGATGCCTGTCATGACCACGTCCCACTTCCCCCACTGTGGGCCAGCTAAGGCACTGGGCCAGCCTCTGGGGTCTAGTGGGCTCTCACTGAGTGGGAAGGCTGGACCCACACGGACTTGCTCAGTCTCCTGGTCTCCCCGCTTCTCCTCTGCCGTGATTTGTCGCTAGTAAAACATGTGCACCAACAAGCCTTACAGAACCCTTTGTCTCTATGGTGATTGTGACCAGTCATCGTTAGCCCCGACCCCCGAGCCACCCCAAGTCCCACAGCAGGGAACACTGCCCCGTCCTGCGCCATCCTCAGACTCAGTGCCTGTTCCAGCCCGCTGCGTCAACGCCGTCCCTCCACCACCTCGAATCTGTTCCCCCGCTGCCCCCTGTGGCCGCGTCCCTCCTGCGAGGCTGTGACGAAGGGTGTGCCCTCCTGAGGCCTGGCCTGGCTCCTGCTCCTGGGTCCCTCACCTCCAGCTCCCGCAGCACGGGGTGATCCTCGATGCCCGGGAAGAGGACCCGCATGGCGTAGGTGCGGTAGTCCAAGTAAGGGATTCCCGAGCGGTCCAGGTCACTGGTCAGCTCGTTGATGTCCGTCTGGAGCTCAGCAAAAGCTGCGGGGTGCAGGGGAGACAGGGTGGTTCTGGATGGGTGGGAGCCCCAGGGGCCTAAGACGTGTGTACGGGAGGTGAGGAGGCCTGGGGTGTAGAGGCAGGCCGACTATCAGGACTTATCTCCAGAAAGGAATGAGGTGACTCTAGATATCCCTTCTTACTGGGCGTCCCCGGGCGGTGTCCACAGATACGAGGTCGGCTCCTTACCAAGGGCTCACATAGAAAGTAAATGTCCAGAAAATGATAATGACGGCAACCTCTAAAAATACACTGGGTGCAAGGGATGTGTGGATTGTTTTAAAAGTGGTTAACAGCCCCCAATAAAATGATCTTTAAAAAAAAAAGCGAAGAAGAGGTCAGCTCCTAACCAGTGTGTTGGAGTCCACCCCTTGGCCCCTCGGAAGAAAGGCCTGGGGACCTCCTTCCAGAGACCAGGGTACTGCTCTGTGTGACACCACGGGACAGCCACCTGGTCAGAAGTGACTGAAGGACAACTGGTTGGGTTTTGAGGGACACGGGTGACTTTTGCATCATTTTCTCCTTTTTGCCTCAATATCGGGTTCCATTTCCTCTCTAGGTATGGCCCAACCTCACTGCTGTGGAGCCGGTGGGGCAGCATATAGGCTCACCCCTGGTGTCTGAGGTCAGGTGGGTTCACAGGGGCAGACAGCCTGCTGCAGCTTTCTCCCACTGAGAACAGCCGGCGCCCAGGTCAGCAGCCCTGCGCTTGCCTCTCTACCCCACCAGAGCGCATTCTATGGATTCCCGATGTAGCTCACACAAAGCTACAGGAGAGGTCCCATGGGTTATGTGAGCAGGAGCGCGGCCGGCCGAGCTGAGGGCAGCCGGCAAGGCCAGAGCAGGCAGTCCGGCTCCCCTTTCCCAAACAGGAAAGAAAAGTGCCCCGTTTCAGAGGCTCCCTCTCAGGGGTGCTGCTCTCCCCTGGGCACTGGCCCAACACCAGGACCAGCCCTGGCCCCACCCTGGCCCAGCCTGGCTCCCCTCTTTCACCTAGCAGCAGGCTTGCAGAATTCTGCTCCTGATGTTCCTGGCAAAAAGAGAACTGTTTTGATTCTTAGTGGAGATGTTTACCCAGAGAGCCTGCTGGGTCCTCAGCCCCAGGAGGATGCCAGGCATCTCCTTCACCTGGTGGCAGCACGTGGGAGATGGAACACAGCACAATATCTACTCCCACGCACTGCCCCAGCCAAGGACACAGCCCCTCCCCACTTCCAGCAGGGACACAAAGCAAAGCCTGGGGGAGCTGGTGCGGTGTGGAGGGAGGAGAGGTTTTCTTCCCACTCCAGGTGTACCCCATCCCTCCCATTTGTGGAACTCAGGGAAGCAGCCCTGATGGAGATGTGGGTTAGGCATTGGGCTGCTAATCGCAAGGCTGGCGGTTCAAACCCACCACCCAACCCATAGGAGACCGCTGCTGCTCCCTGCTCCTGTAGAGATTTACCATCTTGAAAGCACTCAGTCTGAGTCGGCATTGACTCTTTTTCGATAGAGGCAACTGGGTCTGGGGGCTCCCGTGTGGGAAATGGGCCAGGTTACAGGGTGAGTCGGGATAGTGGTAGGACCAGAACACTGTCATCAGACCTGGGTCCTTGTGGGTGGGTCATCTTAATGGGAATCCTCTGCCCCGTCAAGGAGCCCTGGTGGTGCTGTGAGTTAGGCATTGGGCTGCTACTCACAGCAAGAGCAGTTCAACACCACCAGTGCCTCCTTGGGAGAAAGATGAGGCTTTCTGCTCTTGTGGAGGCCTAGCCTTGGGAACCCACAGAAGCAGCTCTGCTCTGTCCTGTGAGTTGGAATCGACTTGATGGCAGTGGGTTTGGTTAGGGGTTTGGTTCTGGTCCAGTGGTGAAGGGTTCAACTATTATCATAAAAGGTTGGCAGTTCAGGCCCCTCAGAGGGACCTCAGTGAAGAGGCCTAGTGATCTGCTTGGGGAAGTTCACCCGTGGGGGCACCGGGACTCAGAGCCCACTCAGAGGGCCACAGACAGCAGTATCAAGGGCAGGAAGGGTGCGCCCTGCAGCCCCTTGGCCGTGGGTCATGTGAAGGTCCCTATAGCCTTGTGTTCTGCAGCACGGGGAAGACGGGATCCAACTAGCAACACAGGCAAAAGGTGGTAAGAGGTCTGGTGTCAGGCTACTTCTCAGTGAAGCCGGGGAGGAGGATGAAGGTGAGCGTGGCTGCGGGGAGCAGCCGAGGAAGGCAGGGAAGCAGGGGCACGTCCACCTACCCTCCTTACACTCCAGGGCCACCCTGGACTCCAGGTTGTCCATCTGCATCTGGAGCCTCTTGAGAGTGAGGTCGTTCTCGCGGGACTTTCGCTTGTAGGCGATCAGGACGATGATGACGATGACCAGCAGGAGGCTGCCACCCGCCGCGATGCTGACGATGGCCGGTAGGGTCAGCAGGCTTTCTGAGACCACGCTCACGGAGCCGGGCGAGAACACCATGCCGCCCACGTGAACCTGTGCGGCCGCACACACACAGAGGCACAGGCTGCATACAGGTGGACCAACTGGGGGGGCCCATCCAACCCTTGCCGACTCAGGGAGGGCATGACAGACATCGCCATGCCGGGTAGCTCCTGCTGCTGGTCCGCCCACCTCCCCTTGCGTTCCCGACCCCCACCCATTTAGCTGAGGGCTGGAGCGGGATGATGTGCGGGGTATGTGCATCAGGCCCCGAGGCAGGGGAGAGAGGCCCAGCATCTTCACTGGGTCAGAGAGCCCCTCTTTCTGGGGTGGACTAGGAGAGGCTCACTCACCATGACCTTGTGCTGCCCCGTGAGGTTGGGAGGCTCGCAGAGGAGCTGGGTCTCAGACACAGTCACAGCGCATGGCGTCTCTCCAATCAGCACCGTGTAGTTGAGCTTGGCACCCCCAGAGGCTGGAGGGCAGAGGTTTTTGCCCTGCAGAAAAGAGTCATCGCAGTGGGAATAGGGACGCATGCAAGTGGCGATAGAATACCCATTCAGGAAGAGATTGGTGGGAGGTGGGGGTGTGACACAATGCAAAACCCTATAAAAGACTCCATAGGCCAGTTTTTTGTTGGGTGGGGCATGAGGGAGCTTCTAACAACCACAGTTTGGAGAGAAAGAAAATGAAGGGGGCATGCAGTAGTTACATAATATGGTTTCAGTTTGAGGATTGGGAGGGTAGGGATAAAGTCTAGGCAGTCAATCAGGATATAGCCAATGAGGCTTCTGTGTGGGCGTGGCCTTCTCCTAAGGATTCTGGGAATTCCTGGTATTTTCCTCCTTGGAGGTGGGAGACATGTTCTCTCTTGGCTCACTCCCTGAGAAACGCTCTACTGACAAGACGCATGGACAACGCTGATAGATCCTGTGCCGTGGGAACTGGAGGAGCCACATGGAGACTCCTGCTAGCGCTGAGATGCTTACAGCGCCACTGGATCCAAAGACTTCCTACCTACTGGCCTGTGATCGTCCTGCATTCAGCATCATTGCATGTGTTTCGTAAGTCTGAAGAGGACTTTATAGATTGGTATCAGACATATGGACTAACATTGGACTTATGGGCTTGGACTGAACTGGGATGCTTTCTTAATGTACAATTACCCTTTATATAAAACTCTTTCTTAGATACATATGAGTGTCTATGAATTTGTTTCTCTAGTCTACCCAGATTTGCACGGGGTGGAAGGAAAGGGAGGTAGAGGTGGAGAAAGGAAACTAGAGAACGTGGTGGGTGAGATCCACACCCTACCCATCCCCACCTAATCCAATCCAGGTCAGCTCAAAACCCAAACCTACTGCCACCCGCTTCACTCTGGCTCCTGGTGACCCTACAGGACAGGGTAGAACTGCCTCGTGGGTTTCTGAGAGGTTACCTCTTTACGGGAGTAGAAATCCTTCTCTTTATCCCCAGGAGGGATGGTTGTTTTGATTTGCTGGATCTTGTGGATCACAGGCCAATGCGTAACCACTATGCCACCAGGGCTCCCGTTCACAGAGACCCACTGGACAGAGTAGAGCTGCCCTACAGGGTTCCCAAGGTTGGCATATTTATGAGGGCAGGCTGGCACATCTTTCCTCCCTGGAGTGACTGGTGGGTTGGAACCACTGACTTTTTGGTTAAAAGCCAAGCACTTAACCACTCAGCCAGAAGGACTTCTTGTGGGGAAGCACCCACGAGGAATAAACAAAAGTGGTTGAACAGCAAACCATCCGGTGGACAGAGCCTCGGAACTGTGATCTCTTGAAATCTAAGTGCAGGGGACTGTGCCCCAGACACTGCCAGTCAGAGGGAATGCAATGGTGACTGCTAACTCCATCCGCAGCTTTTCTGAATCTCAGCTCACGGAACACACAGACCCGTTCTGAATTAGTTCTTGAGAATGTCAAGTGCACGGCACATTGCTCGACAGGCCAGTAGCTATAAACCACCTCCTTTCACAGGGTGCTGGAAGGACAGGGAGCCCGCCTGGTAGGAAGGAGGACAAGGAAGGCCAGGAGGGAGGAGCGCTCCTACCTTCAGAATGATGGGGGATCCTGGCTTCTGGTCCAAGACCCCGGAAGGGCTGAACAGTTCAAAGCTTGGGTTGGGGTAGTAGATGAACTTCGTGTCATTGTAAACCAGCAAGGACTGGACATTGTTAAAGACGAAGCCAAATTCGTCTGGCCGTTCCACAGCGTCCAGGCCTGGCCGATAGTCCGTGATCAGCGAGGGTGCCAGGCAGGTCAGGGTGGTTGTGTTCACAACTTTACACACCTGAGAGGGCCAAAGCATGAGCATTCAGATGCAGATCACCTGCCACCTGGTCAGAGGGGGCAGCCAGCTCTGTCTTCTCGCAGTTTTGTTTGTTCCTCCTTGTCACCATTAGGCTACTTGTCTTCTTCATTAGCGGTTTAGCCTCTAGAGGGCAAGGACTGACTGACTGACTATGTATGTATGTATGTATGTATGTATGTATGTAT